GATAATGCTCACAGGAAGATAATACCGAAGAAACTAATCTCTTCTAGGCAAGAGTAAACAAAACAGGATATATAGAGCTTCCATAAATTAAGTACTCTTGTCGCATTGGTCCTTTGAATATACTTACTTCAGAGTCATGCAAGTTAAGTTGTGCTCCTAGTACCTTGGTACTAGGAAACACCTGGTACCATTGAGTACAGGACGCCGTTTTTCGACAGTGATTTTATTTTTTTTATTTTCACTTTTTACTGTGCATTTATCTTTTTTAATTAAATATAACGACCCCAAAGCTTCGTAGTCGACAACTTTCTAAGAGTTTTGAAAGCGGAAAATTCCTGACCTTGCAAATTGTAAAGACAATTAAAAAAAAAAACATTTTTTAAGCTACGGGCCATAAGGAAATGGATTGCACCGAAACGGGGTCTACGGTTCATAAAGCGAGAGCGAGCGTTCATTATGCTTTGCGGAGCAGTAGGCGATACCTGCTGACAGAAAAAACTGATGGATACAAAAAGTCCAGCGAATCGACGCTTTATAACTTACGATGTTGCACAGAATTCTACTCCAAATTCGGAAGTATTACGAGCGAAATAGTAAAAAAATACACTTACCACTAATTTGTTTTTTACAATGGACATTAGCAATGTTTGCTTGAGACTAGGGTTGCAAACTTTTAATGGCGTGGTAGATTCAAACCTCTGCCAAAATGAGGCAGATGCCTTCACTTCAAAGGGGATTGCATCGAAAGCGAGATTTAGTTATGCTGAATAACGATTAAGAGTTGAGGTTATTGGTACATACTAGCATATATATCAGCTTGAACTTTAGAATTAAACTTGAACACGAAAAAAAAAAAAAAAAAGGACAGGAGAGGACATGCAGCTGACTACCAGCGATGTTTTAGTGTAAACGTCTTCGTTGCGCGTTTGCTCAGTCCTTTAGAGTCCTAAGTAGAGCATGATAAGCCTATTACAGAAATAAACCTATATCACTAATAAAGATCCCTACCGATATTTACACTTATACAAATTTTAGAAAGCATTTACACAGAATTCCCTAAGAATTTTTTTTTCAAGTGACCCGTTACAAGCTCGTGCTCTTGCTTGGGGAGTGACATTTCATAGGTATTCTCTTTCTTTTTTATGAACGGTGATTGACGGGGTGCTGACGCAATCATTCGCGTGGTCGTCGATAGCGAGCGCCTCTAGCATCTCACGTGCATGAGGATTTTTGTTACTGGCAAGAATGGTTATGCTGTTAAAACCTATACTGCACCGACATGTCCTTTAATGAGCTGCCAGGTGTCCTGCCGCTGTTCCCTTAAGAGACGCTGCATGCTCGCTGGCTCTGTAATTGATACTTCGGCCCGTTTCGCCGACGTAGCATTTCCCGCAACAGGAGTGGTACACCACTCCTGTTGTGCATGGGACATACTGCGTTCTATGGGCCGTGTCGCAGGATTTTTGCTTTGTTCTTCGCTTAACTTGACTGCACATGGAGTAGGCTTTGTTGGGCGCGGAGCATACTACTTGACAGTCATTTCTTGTGTTTCAATGTTGCGTCGGAAACAGATTGGAGACAGTTCACTACGCAACGTTGCGGTTTTGAGTCTGTACTCCACTGAAACCATGTTGCATGAGAAACATGTCGCGCGCTGCAGATGCGCAAAATTTAAATTATGCCGCCTAGCGAACGTTGTACCTTCAGCCTTTTTCCGACTATTATTAGGCACTTCCCCAGGCAGTATGGAATTCGAAACAGTAGCCTAACGCTGCAGCGTTGCGTGACGATCAATGTCCCGTCAGGAGCGAATTAGGAACAGTTTACTACAAAAAGTCGCGATTTTTACGTCTCTACTACAGCGATGCCGCATCGCTTAAGACACATGTTTGGCGCTGTAGTTGCTCAACATTTAAATTATGCCACCTAGAAAACGTTGTACATTGAGTCTTATCCTGACTTTTAGTACACAGCTCCCCAGGCAGCATGGGGTTCGAAACAGTAGCGTAACATTGCGTGTTTGTCGTGTCAATCACTGTTGTAACAGAAACATATTGGAGACCGTTGCGCAAAATATCCCAATTCTCCCACAACATTAGAAACAATCTCGCAACATATCTACAACACATCGATGTTACTTTGGAATTTTCATTGACTTCTCCAAAATATTCAACAAAGTCCCACACCAAAGTCTTTCAAGAAATCTTATAGTGATATTAATATTCATAGTTGAACGTGAGCGCGTTGGTTTTGATAACTTGTTAGAGAAAGAATAAACAAAAAGGACGGACAAGGACGGACATGTCTTTCGACTTTTTACAACATGTAGCGTTTTAATTAGATGTTGGTGTCGAGATCGGTGGACCATGTGGGAAAGGGAGAAAGAAAACGAAAAGTGAAAGGAGGGAGGGAAAAGATAAAATGAGGGAAAGGTGGAAAGGGAAAGGAAAGAAAAAGTGAAACAAGGGAGGAAGAGGAGGGGAGAAGGTCGGGGCTGCAGGAGAGCGAGCTGAGGGGGCGGGGGGGCGGGGTGGGAGTCGGCATGAGAAACTCAGGAAGTTGTTAGTCCTTACCGGGCTAACTTCCTGAGTTTCTCATGCGGACCCCCCTCCCCCCTTCTTGTCGTACTAGGCTAACTCGCTCTCCTGCAGCCCCAACCTTCTCCCCTCCTCTCCCTCCCTTGTTTCACTTTTCCTTTCCCTCCCCTTTCCCCCTTTCCTGTTTTCCCTCCCTCCTCTCCCTCCCTTCTTTCACTTTTTCTTTTCTTTCCCCTTTCCCTCATGGTCCACCGATCTCGACGCCAACATCTAATAAAAACGCCACATATTGTTGAAAGTCGAAAGATGTCCGTCCTTGTCCGTCCTTTTTGTTTATTCTTTCTGTAACAAGTAATTAATATTCGCTCCTTTGTTGTTATGTGGATTTCTGAATTCCTGATTAACCGCAAACAATATTCCTCCGTTAACAACATGAAATTTCCCACCTCCACTGAGGCTCTACTGTAACGTCAAGTGTCCCCCAGGGAACCGTACTAGGCTCCCGTATGTTCCTAATGTGTATTAATGATCTCCAGCTTAATATAACTTCTTCTTTGCGCCTGTTCGCCGACGATTGTGTCATTTACCCAACCATTCTTTCATACCATGATCATCATGCTCTGCCGGAAGTCCTTGAGTTCGTAATTCATTGGTGTGAAAAACCGCAGATGACGTTAAAGTTTAATAAATGTGGATCCCTATTATTTTCCCGCAGTTTGCGTGCCACACCATTTTCGTATCAGTCAAGTAATAGCATGCTCATCTTATAAATGGGTCTTCATCTCACCTCTGACCTATCCATAGGCTACTCACATAACTTCTGTTATTTCTGATACTAACCGTTCTCTCAGATATTTGCACCGTAATGTCAAATTTACTACACCCTCCGTGAAACGACCTAGCGTGTACTACATTTATAACATCGAAGTTAGAATCCGCCTCATCTATATGGTCTCCATGGCACTCTTACCTCGCAAATAATCTAGAATTCGTCCAAAACAGAGCCCTTCGTTTTATTCATAACAACTACTTACCTTATACCAGCAAATCAGGATTACGCCAATCAGCTAACCTTCATTCACTTTCCCTTCACCGCCGAGTATCACGCCTTCCTCTCCTCCATCGATTTTTTAACACAATAGCCACCTCAAAGAATTACGGCTATCACCTCCCCGTCGTGTTTTCTCTCGTCTATATCGCCTACGTAAATTACGTCCACTTCGTTCATCAACCCTTTTTCACCAGACTTCCCCACTACAATGGCCATCGAGGATTGGAATTTACTACATCACAACATCGTTCCTATTAACGATACTACAAAATTTGTTGAAGCCATTACCCTCTGCTTATCTAACCTACCTAGCTATCTTAGTGTTATAATCGTGTCTACTCTTCTATCGTTTCTTTGTTCTATTGCCACCCCCCTGTATAATGCCCCACGGGCCCTCAAGGAAAATAAACGATGATGATGATGACGCGTGTCCTTCGTTAACCACGATTTCTTTTACCCAGTACTGTCACTATATTTATTATTTTACTGGCATGTACAATAATGTTATGGCAAAAGGTTTTCACAGTTTTTTTTTTTCTTTTTTCGCTGAGTCTATGGTTTAAGTTCAGTTTCGACAAATCAAGAAACGTTTCCTCGCTTTTCTGAGGAAGCCATTTTATGAAGACAAAAAACAGTTGATGCTTCGATGAGAGTACCTAAAATACAGCAATCACCTGAATAAAATATTTAACACTCGCAGTGCCTGTCGTGCTTTTCTTTTCTTCGTTCGCTCTTTTATATCTGTTTATCATCATGTACAACGTTCAGCCACTGGCCCTATTCGCTACTTTAGTTCGGTTTGATGATCGTTTAACATTTTGAAAAGAGGTTGTTTTGGGATATTGTAAACTTTGTGCTCCGCATGGCATTTGTAAAATAGTAATTTCTTAGGAAGCTTGAAGTGACAGGTAAAAAAAGTGAAAGCCGTTTACAACTCCCTGTAACGCCGAATCGGAGCGCAGCTCTTAAGGAGGAGGAGGGAAGGGTACTAAGGCGAGGGTAGACCCCTCTCTTTCCTCCTCCTTCTCGTCCTCCTCCCCTCATTCTTGAATATGCTCTGTGGGGTCACCTGACCTCGGGGGAGGGGGTCATGTGACTTCGGGGGGGAGGGGGGGGTCGCGTGACCTCGGGGAGGGGGTCACGTGACCTTTGGGTGACCTTGGTGGGTCACATGACCCTGGGTGACCTTGAGGGGCCACGTGACCTCGCGGTAATGGCGACGGCGACGCCGACGCCACTCAGGCCGGAAACTGGCGCCTAAGAGCTGTGCTCTAGAAATACTTGTCTTGACCATTTTTATAAATCTGTATAGAATCGGTAGTTCGTGCTTTATGACAGTGCCATGATCTGTTCTGCTTAGAGGTAAATTCACGTGTTTATTACAATCAAAACACAGAAGCACCTTCGTCGGGCGTTTCGCATTAGTTTAGGTATGGTTTGAAATGCTGACAGGCTCCACTATTCTTTCAACATTTCCTTTTCTAGAGCGACCTTCGTCTTGAGTTCTTGTCTCCTAACCTTTCCGTTATCAAACTTGGGAAGGTATTTCATAAAAACAACTCCTCCGTACAGATGCTTGAAGACTGCTGCTTGTCCTGCAAACAAGAAGCCGAGGTTAAACAAGTACGAAGAATTTGCAAATCAATCTCCCACAGGCTTCACAATATGCATCTGATTATTTATTATGCAGGTAAAATACCTTAAAGTGTATGAATTCATATTCTTGAAGCCTTGTGGCTTTGAGAAAAGGCATGAAAGAAAGAGAAAAAATTTAACCCGGCGTGCCTCGAGCATTTCAGGAAGCAAGTTGATGGTAGCCATTGAGAGGTTGAGGAAGCCAGGGAATCTCTTTAGCATGCCCGTCCCCTAGTACGCCTTCATTCCTTTTAGTCTTGCTTTGGCTTCGCATGCACACTCGAGGTTCGTGAGACGCTGAGACGTTATCAAGGCTAGAAAGCTCGCACTGGACGAGAGAAAACTAAAGGACATACGTGCTGTCCTAATTCTGTCAGTGACTAAATGTTAATTTTCATTTTCACTTTCAAATCAAAGTTAGTTCAAGTTACCCAAGTGCCACAGAACAGAAGTTAACATCGTCAAGGTTATGCATAGAAACTTTGCATTTGTCGCAATGTTTCTCGTGCAAGCCTTGTAAACATCGAATTATTTTAAAAAAAGTTGCCTCTAAACAAACATTTGCTCTGATGTATACAACACGCCTTAGTATATGAACCATAAGCACGGCACTATGCATCTTACCTGGTCACGGAAGGTATGAAGATTTGTTTATATAAACGGCTTAACACTAAAAGAAAATCGTATCAACGGAAAATATGTCCTGGATATAATTCCCCGCATTGTGTACGAGTGTTATTTTCCTGCGTGTTAAGTACAATGCGTTTGTTCTTGTATTTGTAGTTTTTAGCGTGACAGTGTATACATCGAGAAAAGGACTCATGCTTCAATTTACATTTCTCGAAATAAAGTGGCTCATAAGCGGTGTTTTTTATTAAACACATTTTGTACATTAGACTTGCCACTTACACTTCTAAATACAAAAGGTAGGACATGCTAACAAAACATCATTGAATGAAATGTGAATATTGTCAAGATGACATATACCTGCTATGAGCTCCTTCAATTCTGTCGCCAGGCTCTCGAGGTTTCTTTTGAAGCAATCTTTAAGAACGACACAAGCTGTTGGAGCCTCGCCATACTTTGGATTCGGAATACCCACAACTGTGGCCTCTGCGACAGACTTATGGGTCAATAAAATGTCTTCCAGCTCAGCAGGGGCGACCACATTGTCCATGCATTTTATCATTTCTTTCATTCTCTCGATGACATGAATCCGCCCTTCAGTGTCGTAGTAGCCGAGATCACCTTAAAGATCAAAATATCATCTTCACGAGTTGTGATGGCCATACGTCTTTGTTTTAAGGCCAAACTTTGGGGTGATTCGATCTCATCACGGTGCGTACCGAATTCTAACGCAGGTCAGAAGTGTCGACGAAGAGATGCCGTGCAGTTCTGAAATTAGTGCTCGTCCATCCTCCGCGGCCCTGCAAAACGTATGCAAGCAGTACCTCCGCGTAGTGGTTTAGGATTTTTTTTTTTTGTGGCATTAACAAGTTTTTTGCAATCCGCTTTGAAGATAATCGTAGTTTTGTACTAAACTTAATGTACAGGGCGTCCCCGAAAAAAAAATTTCGAGCGTAATTTTTTACTGCAGAGTAGACTACTCATCGCCGGGCTCCCAATCTGCGCTACGGTTCGGGCCTGACACAAAATGTTGAAAAATAACCACTATACATTTCAAATGTTTATGTAATTTTTTTTTTAAATTTCCACGGGAAATAGAGTTCATTCCCGGTAGCTTGCGCCATTCGCTCTAATATAAATCGACGGCTTCGTCGTACAGAATTTTTCCATCGAAAATTAAAAAAAAAGAAGGACGTTTACAATTTTGTGTAATGTCGAATTATTGAGGTGGGGGAGAGGAAGGTATGCCCCTCCTCGTTCCCCTCCTCCTCTTCTAGATCTGCTCCCCTTTCATTTAGCGGGAAATGTTTGCAAAATTTCCTGCTAGATTTAGCGGGGAAAATTTTCCGTTAATTTTAACGGGGAAATTTTTCTATATTGCAACGCGCGGTTACATCCGCTTGCATTATTCCCATAATGCATCGCACGCTGTTGCACCCGCGGCGACGCCGCTCAAAACGAAAGAGGGCTACTCCTAAGAGCTGCGTTCCTAAAAGGCTTACAACTTTTCAATTACATAACGGCAAGCCTTAAAACTTTGACATCTGGTCCGTTTACTACCGTCATTTGGAGGGAGACTGAGCTTTCACTGGTGCCTATTGTATTTTTACTGCAAAGGAAGGCACAGTACATTTTCTGGGGGAACACGCACTTTTTTTGTGTGTGTCAGCCTCAGCTGGTAATCTAAAGTTAACATGGTTATGAAAACAGGTTCGCAACAATAATGCCTCTGTTGGCGCTAAGCTATCGGCGAGTGTTTTTATTTATTGTTATTTTTGGTATGACGGAACCAAGACAGCCTAACTTCGGCAGAGATTAATGAGAGACAGAATTCAGTTGTCTGGATTCCAAACAGATTGTGGCATCTTTTGGTGACAAGAAACACATTTGTGATTGAAATGTGCAAGCTCGGGCGTGTGCTTGAAAGCATTCAGAGCAAATTTGATGTATCCATTTTGAGATTCTCGCTTCAAACTTGTTGTCTGGTGTGTGCCGCGGTCGATGGCATTCTCCCAAAGGAATCACTTCTTTATTTCGAATTCCTTAAGACGTTCATTATTTTGCCTTTTTTAAACGTTTTGTACATTCGAACATGGTGATAGTCTCATGGCTACATTCATTTCTACATGCAGATTAGTAGACATTTGACACAGGTAGGTTTATTAATTATCGTTGCAGCACCGAATGGGGGTATGTCTAAAATACGATTCAAAACGTATGCGAGCAGGTGAATAATCATATTCAAGAAATAAAACCTCGAGACAAGGAAACAAACTGGGACATACACACCACCGTCTCAAACCAGCGCAGCATACAGCTGTCATTTCATTCCACAACAGTCATCTTCTTCTTTGAAAAACTCGATCCAAAGTATACGCATTCGGCGGCAGGGAAACTCACTGTACTAGAAAGCCTCGAGCACACAAAAAAGGACAGCTGTATGCTGTGCTGGTTTAAAAGATAGTGTGCATGTCCCATTTTTTTTTTGGGGGGGGGGGGGGGTTTGTCTCAAGGTTTTGTTTCTTAATTATAAGGGTGTGTTTACCACTTTCACAGCACAGAATTCTTGACTAACATAGCTCGACGAAAAAACTGTGGGCAGAGAAATATCATGAAGTGCGCAAAAGCATGCCGACTAGCTAGCTAGACAGGCACAATAAAACCGCTGGTGCTTGATATAGGATATTGAATTACTAGCAGTGCTCGTTAATAACAGAACAAATGAGACGACTGCTGTACCTGTACGGTACCAGCCGCCAGAGTTCACAGCTTCAGCGGTAGCTTCAGGACACCCATAGTAGCCTTTCATGATGCATGGTGTGTGAATTTCGATTTCACCATTTTGATATGGGCCGAGAGACTCTCCGCTGACTAGGTCTGTAACCTGGGAATAAATTCAAAACTACATTTACTCTTTTTTTTTTTAAGAATTGAGATCTGCATAGTAAAAGATACAGTGAAAAACGACGTTACTGAGACGATGACAAAGAATAGAGATACACAGGACAACCGCTGTTTTTCTCTCAAACTCGATTTCAAAGGATCTCTTACCAACTCGCCCAAATATCCAAACTTAACAAGTGACAGCTGGCACCACCGTCTTCGGAAATTGTTAAGTATCTGTGGCAATTTAGGATAATAAATTGTCAGATTGTAATGTTTAGGCTTTCTACGAGTATTTACACCCTAAAAGTTGTCGGATAACGGTAAATAAATTCAAGGTTGCGCAATGCAGAGGGGCTTTTTAACGCAAGAGGAAACAGGATATGTCAATAGACTATTTCGATGAAGCCGTGCACGCAACACGGCGCGCGTTGCACTCTGGGAACTAGATGGCCAGGGAGGAAAGTGGCATGGTTTCGGTTTCGATCGACACGTCGACAAGAGGTCACACACAGAACGTGGACTATTAACGGCCGTTATCTCATGCTTTCTGGTCCCGAGAGCGTCATTGGTGGTCTGTAAACTAAACTAAATGGCCAGACCTCGAAGCTTCAGCACAAACAATAAGCATGCATACATCGAGCTCGAGCCTTTTACATTAGTATTGCTGATCAGTTTCTTTCGTGCTTCCATAGACGAAATATAACTTTTTGCGATTACTGTTTTTCTTAATACGCCTGAGTACGCGAGCCAAAACTCTGAGGCGCCATTGAAAAGCTCCATTTGAACACACTTCTCATCTCTCATCTCTACTGCCCGCAGACTGCACGAAGTGAAGTTTCCACCCGCTTGCATTCCACTTATATTCAACATCGCGTATGCGCATAAAGTTATCCTGCAACCACATAGGCACATTCGCACATACAAACCGTTTTAAGAAAGCAAAATTCGAGCACTTGAGTGAAGAATGTCGCACCATTCGCCGGAAGGGCGCCGGACGGGCATGAACCCCTATGGGGTGCGCCAAACGAACGAAATTATTCAAAACGCATTTGACGGTTGCTTATGGCTATAATATTTGTTATGTGTTTGCTTTCTTCCTGACTGACTATGCCGAGATAATTTTAGACACACCGTTCAGGCACAGATATTGGGCGTCAGGAAAAGCTCGTCCAAAAAGGCTTACCGAGGAGTAGGGGACGTTTGCTAGGGCCTCCGTCGTAGCAAGCCGATCGAGTGTTTGCGAAAACTTAATCTTCTATCAGCATAAAATTTAAGCGTGAGGTATGTGATCACACGAGGAACACATTATAGTAGTTTTTGTGCAGTAGGGAAGTCGAATTGATTGCGTTTCTTTAAAAGTTCATGCGCCAACGTTGGGCTCAACTTTGATAATCCTGTGAAGATGCGGCTTGCTTTTTGCCCAATGAAGTAACAAGAAGCGGACGTTTGGCAAACAAAATACGTGTAGGGCTCAAGGTGACCAAAGTGCAGTTGTAGTTCACTAGTACTAGACGGGATTACTGACATTGAGCTCAAAGATGCACTCGTGGGGTGAGGTGACTAAGCCACGTCTTACTACGTTTGCAAACGCACGCACAGTATCCGGTGTTTCGGGAACCAAGTAAAGTACCCCGGTCTTCTTTTTGTATCGCTCGAGAATGAGTGTATTGTACATTCGTAAAACGTCAGATAATCGAAAACGCAATCAGCGCGTTCGGTCGCGGCGTGATAGCATGAGATGAACCAGCTCACTCGAAACCGAAACTCAGTGGCCAACTAGTTCCCAGAGTTCACTGCGTGGTATTTCGCCGCGATGGGGTGCGTCGGTTTTGGAAGAAGTCAATTAGGGAAGTTTCAGAAAGTAAGTACCTACTGGTACATTAGTCCTGCGAGAATATTACTCTTCTAGTCATATATGCGCAGTTGTGTTCCTTGGTCTGCTAGTCAGACCCCGTTGGTGGTTATTTTTAAGTCATTAATGTTCTTCAGATTTGTTTTCCAATTATTTTATATAACTAAGCAGAACGACACGCCGACCTCGAACTCCGGTTTATGGTAATTCTCCTTTTTGTATAAAACAAATATTTTACAATGCAGACCCCATAAGATACAATAGAAAAATTATAATTTGTATTACTGATTAGGATATAACAAAATGCGTTATACAGAAACGAGAGCGAGAGCTTAAGAACGGCGACAGACAGGAATGTAGCTCTCAAAATGCATTGCGAAGCACTAAAATTACATCTTGTCGCAAAAAAAAAAAAAAATGTGACGGAAGTGAATGAAAAATTATTGAGAACTCACGCTTTACAAATTCCCAATCTTAATAAATATGCCCCTAAAAGTTCAACACCCTTGTCTATTAAAATTAGAAACCAAGACTTTATTACCACAAACGGCTTTTACTATAGATGCCAGAGAATTTAGCACAAGTCTCAGGCGGCAGAATCTTTAAGGGTAGAGGAAACCTTTCGCCGCAGTATGTAAAACGCCTTCACATGAAAGGGTATTATATGGAAAGCTATATTGAGCTATAGAGAAATCATAGATAATCAAGTGTTTCTCAAATAATGCTGTGTGTCTTTTTTATGGGCATCTTTCTTGCTGGACGCACATTCAATCCTGACTTAAACCAACATACAAGGAAAGAAAGTAGACAGAATGGCTGCACTCCGTGTCTATCCCCCGGAACGTATGTATGCATGTTCCTCTTTTTACGTGTCCATAAAAACATTTTCAATGACACTAGAACTTTATCTAGGTGTTTGAAGCATGAAATTTACTTACGATATAGATCGCACCGTTACTCGTCCTAGAGTCATCATCATATTAAACTACCGTTTTTTTTTGTTTTGTTTTTTTGCGATACATACGTTTTACAGTTGCTTGGTTCACACCCCTTGTAAATAGAAGTTCTCACAAATACTCTTTTTTTGTACATAAGTCGCACGTTCGTATAACTCTCGCTTATACGTATATTTACAATCGGCGCGTTCAAACTTCACTGATGAGCTTTCATATGGGCATTGATCACATTATATGCGCCAACGAAGGTTGGCCAGTTTCAACATTCTCATAAGTCAATCGAAGAAGTATAATTTTGAGGCAAAGTTCAGAAGTCTGCACTTAAAGAAACATCTTCATAAAAGTCGCTAAACAGAAAAAAAGCGTCAACTCAACGTTTTTAGGATAATACACAAAAAAAAATACGACGGTTGCATTAAAAACTACGGTAACAACATGGTAAGTTAAACGCTTCTCCAGCATCGAGGATATTTTTGAACTGTACCTTCAAGATAAGTTTTAATGTAATAATATTCTTATTCCTATTTACGTATAGACCGACACGCGGAGCGGTTACTCCTCAAACAAGACCTGCTTGCCATTCAACATGAAGTTGCTGCCACCGAAGTGGACGACTCACATCGTCGTTTGTTTTTTTTTTTCGCCAAGCCAGTTCACGGCCGATATGGTGTAGGCGTACAGGACTCTCCAAGCCTACGATTTCTTCGAGTCGGCTTCCGCACTGCCGGCGGGATCAGCAGACAATGCGTCTGCCGAAGTGTATTTATTAATTGATTAAATACACTCAGTATTTTCGAGTCAAGGTATATTTTTCCTACCCTCATGACCACAAGGCGTGACAAGCGGTAACGCTTTGTCCGTTGTGCAGTCTAGGCGGTAACACGTTAGAAGTAACGGCGTTACCAGAAGCCCGTTACTTTTTTAGTAACGTAGTAACCTACCCATTACTTTTTTGACACAGTAACAGGTAACGTACTTACGTTACTATTTCAAGTACGTTACTCGTTACTACTTCCCAAGTCTCAAGGAAATTACACTTCAATTTCTTCCGTGTTTTTAGGCGTCAAGCCATGTGAATTGCTGAGTTTTCTGCGTTTTTCTTTGCGTTTTTTCTCGTGAGTATCTGGGTGAAGCCGTAAAAAGAGATAAAGTAATTACGTTCAGTTTCTGCATCAACATAATGTTCCTTGATATATGAGCTTATGCTGTATCCTGAATCGTCAAAATAGTAAAAACGTGTTAAATTATAATTTTAAACGTGACGCAGAAGTATTACTTTTTATCGGTAGCGGTAACGCGTTCCTTTCATTTTTAGGTAACGTAGCTCGGTAACGAGTGCCTTTTGTTTACAAGTAACGAGGAAAGTGTTCCATTACTTTTTTTCGGTAACGCCTACAACACTGCCGTCCTCTCGCCGATCCCCTCCTGCTTGTTAGCACGGGCGTAGCGAGCCTCCGACGAGCGCTTGCACGAACACCGTGCAAACAAAATCCGGGTGGTCTCGATCGGACGACCGTTTCCCTGCTTACAAGCAAGCCTCGGGACGGAGATTGAAATGAAAGCAGCACTTGTCTTCAACAAAGTGCGTGCCGCACAAACAATCGTTCGCGCGAGGTGACCATTTTTTTTTTTTCGATCAACGGATATTATTTACCTTCTGCGCCTTTCAGATTCTACCGGGAACTTGTGGAAGCTCACGCTGCTACATTTAGTTTGTACTTTTCGGTGCAAATAACGGCAATATAGCTTCGCGGCATGCTGAAATGCTATGACGCCCATGCGAAACGTGCGCTTTTCTGCCCATACCACCCGGCTCCCGCGCGATCGCAGCGCCGCCGCAGCTCCTGGACGTCAACCCCGCGTGTCAGTCTATACATATTGCGGGAAATGTTTTAATCTTTTGGGAAGATCGGTGTTACAATATTGTATTGAACGTCTATAAGATTCTACAAACATTACGGTACCGACTTTGCAGATTATAAAAGAAATAAACCTATCATTTCTTGCTACATCTAAATAAACTGTTTGTTCCTATATCACACTAAATAAGCATGTGAACAATAAAAGGGTAATTAACTTTTTAGGTGTTACCAAATGAAGAAAGCATGTACCAGTTGAGGCATTTCAGACATACCTTGAATTTGCTCCCGGCCAGAGGTACACCACTATGGTCAAAGGTAATTTGACCAACAGGTGAGCAACATACAATACCAAACGTTTCGGTCATGCCGTAGACATTGATGAGTGATTCCACGTTGAATATTTCACGAATTTCCATTGCAAACGATTTTGTTACTACCGATCCACCCGCCATTATTCGTTTTACACCAGGTATGATATCGTTGTTTTTTCTAGCATTATGAAAAATATCCTTCATCCGGCCAGCTAAGCCAATAAATATAGATACCTGTAAAGGGAAAAGACAACATATCATAGGGTGCCTTTTCGTTTCCAAGCACAATAAGGTAATTATTTGTATTATTGTCACGCCGAAACATAGGCACTTTGATTGAAGAATGTACAAATGTTGAATAGCCAAAATGTATGTAAGCATCCAGACAGAGGCTTCATGTCGGGAAACATTTCTAACATTCTCATTCATAATAATGCGTTATTTTTGTTACACATAATTGTTGTGAGTGAGAATTTTTATTTCAGACTTATCGAAGGCGAAGATTGAAAGTCTTAGATTTAGTTTTGTACTTGACCTCTCATTTGGTTTAGTCTTTTTAACAATGCTAAAACGCTCAAAGCTGGAGAATATATAGTGTCAAATCAATGTCGAGGTTATCAGAATTATAGTAGTCATATACACTCCTGGTGAAAATGTTGCCAGTATTTCTGAAATAGTCTGGAATACGGAGTGAAACATTCTGCCTTATATTAAATTTGGCCTGAAATTTTTGAAACCAGAAGCAAAACATTAGCGCATTTCATTAAACAAATTCGAGTTTCTGCAACAGCTCTGACTTTCAATTAAAGTACTGAAACTGATTAGTTTATTTACTGACACCACTTGCAACCAATTAATATTCGCCATCAAAACGTCGCTGAAAAAACAGCCTTGAATTTGAACGTAAGAGGGACAAAGGTCTCTTTTTTTATTACTCTGCTGTTGCTGTGAAACCAAGCCAGCATGTTTGGAACTTATAGAAGCAAGTTACAATCGCAACGCCAAAAACCACCAAGAGGGGATTTGAAGGAAATAAAGCTATTGCTATACACATTATTTCCCCGCAATTTGGATAGAGCCTTGTACTGTATGCTAGCTTGATATATATATTTTTCGTAAGGCCTATCACGAATAACTTTCGCAGTGTGACGAAGACTGAATACATATCTCATATAAAGATTAAGAAAAAGTTCATACTTATGAAAGCCTTCGAATAAGCGTTCGTTTTTGGCACCAAATAGCTCATGTCGACCGCAATAATGTTCGTATGAGGAGCGTTTTATTTTATGACAACGAGAAAAAGTACACATTACCGCCAACCTAGTTTTCTAAATTTAGTGCCATGAAAAATGCCACTGCAATACGCAGTTTTAGCTTGGTGCCTTGAGCCAAGAAAAGAAATAAAACATTCTTGTTATTAAAAAGAAAACATTCCAGGATGACATTTAAGACTGCTTACGTGCATGAATCCGAAAGCATTCCTAAACGCAGCGTATTTCTACAAGCAGCACGCCGTGTCTTCCTATCGCACACTGCGCTCCGGCGGTGATATCGCGTTCCCCTACTGCGCAGGCGCGGCGAACCCCGCCGTCTCTGCGGCTTCCGTGACGATGCATCTGCGTAGCTGTGCTTTTGCCCAATGGGAATTTAACTGCCGCTTCGCTGCTACAGACGGTTAGAAACAACGCCGGCTTCGCTCCATGAGATAGTTAATGCTCTCGCAATAAAAATATTTTGTTCAGGAATGTAAAATAAGAATCAATCACTATCTGCATCTCTTTAATAAATGTAGAGTACTCGGCTTGGTAAGGATAAACTATTCTGCGATATGATCGGGATTTCTAGTTCCATCTGAATATTCTCACCTTAAAGGTTTTGAGAGTTTTCAAAAAATTTTCGTACGAAATTAAGGGATCGGTGATGACAGTCTTTGCACCTATGAGCATAGAAAACATGGCTACCGCGAAACCCGACACATGGGTGAAGGGATTCCAGGCCAAGTAAACATCGTCTTCAGTGCAAATTCCAGTAGACCTGAAACCCAGAATAGATACGTATAAATACAGGAAGTTTTAAAGACGAAAGAACGCACTAGATATCCCCTTGTCAATAGAATTTAATATTTAACTCTGTATAAAGTAACATATATCATGTGCTTGGCTTTTAATATGAGTTGCTCAAGAAGTGCGACATAATGAGAGAAACAAAGATATAAACAAGGGATGCACAAAGATTCGGGTTCCTACTTTTATTTTACTTCTACAGATTTTTAGTGGTAATTTTTTTTAAAATAAATTTGAACCATGTGGGCCCGAAAAGTACTATTTCCTGCACTATTTTTAGGATACAGTTCCTGGTTTACATTGAGTTTTAATTTTATAAAGCAAGATGAAGCTTGCTTTCTGATATATTTTTATTCGGCAGGTTATTGCTTTTATTACTCCAGTAACCACTTTCACAAAAGAAGTTGCAGTTCTTTCATGTCGACATTGGTGATTATTTAATATAAAGTCTGCTTATGCGAAGCTCATTACGTGCACTCCTTCCTTTTTTATTAACTTGACAAATTACATACTGAGCATAATTTATATCCGTGCCTGTACACAAGAATAAAATAAATGCTTACTAGCGGCCTTACAGAACTTAACTCTTTTGTTTTCAAAACAGATATATATTTTCCCTTCCATCATCAGGTACCTGTATGCGTAGAACGAGGCACAATACGCTTTGTGCGATATTTCTACACCCTTCGGGAGACCCGTTGACCCTGACGTGTACAGAATGACCACAACTTCTTTCTCTGTCTCTGTGGGCACGTGGGGTTTGAAGGACGCATCAGGAAGATCTTGGAAAAGGAGAACGTCGATGAAACCAGGCGCACCTCCTACGGCGAACAATCCCTGCGAAGTGAAACAGAAGGATCTGATAGAATGCTGTGCTCGTTGCATGGTGAAAGAAACTGGTGGACTCGAATTCCTAAACGCAATAGATATGTAATCCCGAGGGCGATAGAGATAGTTTCTTCTCTTCTGAATAAGGAAGGAATTAAACCTTCAAATTAATGTACTGTTTATATGTGTTAACATACTGAGACTTTTACTACCAAACACCTTAGTGTCACGTCAGATGCTGCAATTGCAAATAAAGACTTGATCGGATCTTTCGCTACTACACAGTTAGCACGCCCTATTCACTCTCTCGTAAAAAACTTGCACTCAAAGTAATTCGATCACAAACACTTCCAAGTGAAAAACAACCGTGATTTCTCAAACAGCCAAAAACACATGCCATGATTTTTTTTTTTTTTTTTTTGTGGCGACGGTGAAGTATTTTTATTCTAGTATCTTATTTTGGCGAGGAAAGTACAGGCATTGTTTTATTGTCTGTAAAATGCTCCAATAATTGAATAGATAAGCACTTGCGCACCTTAATGATCGTTGGTATATTCCACTTCGCAGCCTGTGGCGCGGTTTCTAGGTCCATTAATAGAAAAGTGCAGTGGCTGTCTTCAATCGTATACACCAACTCCCCTATAAAACAAATCTCATTAGACTTACTATTTCCAAAAAAAAAAGAACTGCCTAAATGAATCTTCGATTCAATTTAAGGCGTTTTGAGTACTCACTTTCCACGTAGGCCGTCTTCGCCATGACGAGCGTCCCGCCCGCAAACATAACACCAAATGCCGCGGCTACATTTTCAACGGTGTTGCCAACATACGCACACACCTTGGTCCCCGGTTTAACACCGTGTTGATAAAAGCCTTCAGCGTATTTACGAATTTTTTTTAACAACTGCGAGGCGGTCAAACTTTGGTAGGCGTCAACCTGAAGAAAAAGTAAGGAACGGAAAGGGTGTCTTATAGACGAACGCAAAACATGTTGTTAAAGAAGCTGCTGCTAGAAAATCTGTTTATATATGTTGAGTGGCACATTGCTACGCTTTAAAATAGTAAGGGGAAAAATCGATAACAAAAAAAAATCTTTTTTCCGGAAAATTGAAGCCTGAATAAGCAAGCTGTAAAATTGTTATTCAGGTTGAGTCGATACATTTGTCTTATATACGCAGCAGCGATGTTAGATACAGTGCTGAACGTTTAAATGGAATGAAGGTTGATCCTATTATAGCTTCTTATTGTCTTTCCTTATACGCGTCACGCTACTTCTCTAGTTTTTGACTAAACTTCATTGAGCAAAAGAAGCGACGAATTTCTCCCAGGGTCGTTCACTGTGCGCGTGACATCACAAGCGTGGCTGTTGCGCAGCGCGCAAAGCGAACCTGCGTTCGGGTGAAGTTCGTAGGTTCTTCGCCGCCAATTCGATCCATGGAGTTCAGCCCTCAGTTTATCAACTCGACTGCAATAACAGAAGACCGCTAAATGCCACTGGGTGTTTAATAAATCAATGAGGTGTTAGGCGCGGACGCAAGCACTACATAAGTTTTAGAAATAACAGGCCTGTTATCTGCACTGTCACGTAGGCACAAGCTAAAATGGCTGATCTTATTATTGTGAAGTTTACGCCTACGTAACATGGGAGCTAGATGTTGCCATTATGTGAATAGCTCATTGTTCGCACACTTTCCAGGCGAAGTTTGGAGATTTGCATGATCATCACATAAAACAGGGGACTCGCATACTCACAATGATCACCTTGTGTAATAGTTTCTTCAAGCGTCCTTCTATGAGTTCAGAAGCAGAGTTTTTTCCAACGTCAAAGTCCGGAAGAGGCGATTGTATCACTCCGTGCAGAATGCGAGCGGCCATGCTTACCGAGGTTTGGGAGGTTTTTCTAAAGATGTAAATGGGGAGGCAAAACGATGGTAATAGGTTGAAAAGTACTTCATCTGTGGTTCAATAAGGCAAGACCAATAAACAGATAGGATCTATCGTTGGCATTCCGCTGTTCAGAAAAAAACATTACCGCCAAGTCTGTAAAGGCCGTTTCACTGATAAAGCGCAGCGGTAAAGTACATTCAACGATGCATCAGTGCTACTATCAGTGCTGAGTTACCGCTGAGTAATTAGATCTGCGTAGTTCATTTACGTTGAAAAGGGCAGAGTCGCCTACAGCTGAGCGCTAATACACAACTGCTATGGAGCAAAGTCAGTTCTTTATCTATAACGCTGTTTTAGCGCTGTGCTGTGGATGTGAATACGCCCTAACATGTAATACACACAACGACGCTTTAGGAGTTCTAAAGGTTTGAGTATTCATGCCATCAAAAGATACAATACAGTATAAAATTCAACTTAAACACTGCATTTTTGTATGAAGGGCATTGTTACCGACCTTTTACACGAAAAAAGTAAAGCTCCAAGAGATGGACTCCTCTGTTGAACCACGCCACTTCGTAGCCAGGTGGAAACAAACCGATAACTACTGTACCACTACACAATACATGCCCACAAAAAGTAGAGCATACTCATATAATGCGCACATATGCGCAGTATACAGATATTCGAGCTATGCTCATGTCCCGCGTCACATCGTTTCTCAAAAACAGTTGTGGAGCTACGCGCATATACCAGGTTATATCGTTTTTCAAAAACAGTTGTGGAGAGGCTTCTGAAATCAAACAGCGCTACGACGCTTCAACTCTAGATAAACAAGAGGTGCACAGTGCGCCAGGTGGATTTTTTTATATATGTTTACGATTTAGAATTCATTTTTGTTGTATCCCTATTGGAAAACCCCAATATGAAAAGCGTATTATGGATATTGGTAAACAATATCTTTTTATTGTATTACAATACGATATGGACAGAGTATTGAGAAAACATTACATTTATTGTATTGTATTACAATAAGGGTTTGTTATGGGATTCCAATATCCATAATACGCTGAAAACATTGGAATCCAATACCGTATAAACCCTTACTGGATCCCCATGTGTCTATGGGGATCCAATAAGGGTTTACGATTCCAGCGTACTTAGGGTATAATGGATATTGAAATCCAGTATATTATATCGGCTACCAATAAAACTATATACGAGTTGGAAGATCACGTTCAGCGCGGCATTTCTCCGCAACGCAGTCTCTTCTTGTGTGTATTTCTGAGTGATAAAAAAAATGTTGCTGTTGTCAAATTATGAATAAAGAAGCAAAACACTGGGCTTATCCATACCAACTATATTTAACATATTCCTGAACTGGAGGATCTGGCACTTACTGCAAAAGAAAGTTAATTGTTTAGGACCCTCATTCAAAAACTTGCTGTTTGAAAACAGAATGTGAAATCCTCACCTTTCAATGAAAACAGCACCTGCTAGCTGTAGCCATATAGAAACTGCAAAATAAAAATTTGTGATTAGTTCGCAACAAGTAGCAATCCTTCACTAAGCCGGATAGATTCAAAATTATGTCTGCGTTTGATTGCGGAAAGATAAGCTTCCATTCCACTGCCACGGGTCATTCTGAGCTCGGTCAATTAAATATACCTATCCGGTCGTCTGGCTTCACAGTTCCTGCTTTGCACCTAACCACGGTGTAAGATACACTCTTTAGGTGAGAACACGCCGGGGTGAACTCACGGCACGAGGAATCAAATAGTGTTCGTTCGACGGGCATCCGAAAGACTGCATCATTCGGCTGCCACCGTGCCCGCGACTGACAGTGTCGCCGGCGGCCAAACGGCGAAACTGTGTGAGAGCGAAAAAACGTTATCTCGTTGCCATGACACCCCGGTACACCATGGTCTTTCTGCACGTGTGACAACCTCGCTGGAGCTCTGCGCGTGTGGTACATAAGGCGGCACGAGCCGTCTTGTACGTGCCCACGGGTCGACGAGTCACCTGCCGGCGCCGCTTGAAACCATAGTGAGAGAGTGTGAAGAGTGAACTTTATCGGGCACGTGGCCAGGAGCGCGCTGTCCTCACCTGAAGAGTATTATCTTACACCGTGCACCTAACTAAAGTATCTGGAATGCTCACCTTTGAGGAAAAACGAACTGGTGCTTGTTAGCTTGTAGGCCGTGGAAACTGGGACAAACTGGGAGAGAGATTTGCGATTAGGTGCGTTCAAGTAGAAATTACATTGAGTAGCCCCGTAAAGTACACTAAGTCGATAGGATGGAAGCTTGGGCGAGTTGGTGAACCATACTTGACGGTGACAGCGCAGCAAAAATTAATCTCACACCAGACACTCAGGAAGACAAGCACACGCGCTGAACTTACAACTCTTGTGTATTCGACTGCTTCATTTTTCTCTTCAACGTCTGGGTTGACTTTTCAGAACGTGATAGGTAGAAGAAGTAGCACGAAATACAAAGGAAAATTCTAAAGAGAAGGCAAAAGAACAGTAAAAGAGAAGACAAATGAAGAAACGGAATAAATATCTAAACGAAACACTTTTACAAATCGTCCCTCTCCCTCATCGCTATCATTTAGATAGAAATTGGAGCTCTTTGGTCGACAGCGCTATAGAAGGACTACTTACACACTTGTCCTTCAGCTGTGCTATCCTTTCCGCTTCCATTATTTCTCTAGTCAATGCGTCTGTACTCCTACCTATTACAGAACAATTTTCAAAATGTGCTATACAGCGCCACAATCGCGACGATGGATTCCCAAGTGTCCAGCTACGACTCGGTGGGTGTAATAAAAATGCTGTCTTAAACGATCATTCAAACACGTCAGAGTGGGACAGAATATACGACTCCTTCAGTACAATTTACAAAGCTCTTTTGGTGCTTTTTCGAACAACCAACTTCCCGGTGTGCCGATCCATTTACTTTCCAGCACAGGCTTAGAAACTTATTTGGTGCTGAAAAAGCAAAAATAATGTTAATGCAGTTACCTCTCTTTTTTAGACCGTGCGAAACGTTATGTATATATGGAACAATGGCCGAGCTTTACTTTTCTGTATTGCGTTTAGGTCGTTCACCCCATTTTATTCTCTTTAATAAATCCTCTGCCACGGCTATAAGTAATGCGCTAGGATATCCTGTTGACTTTAACCTGGCGATTTGAGCATCAAAGCTAACCTTAAGTGAA